AGAATTCCCCAGCCAGCGTGCTGGCTGGGGAATTCTGGGAGTTGAAGCCCACCCATCTTCCAGCTGCCACGGTTGAGCAACACTGCTCTGGATGTTGCTTGAAGTCCAGCTCCTAACAGCTGAAGCCAATGTAACTAATAATAAAGGATGCAGCAACATCTGGAGGATTAGTGGTTCCCCAGCTGTGCTCTAGAGGGCTTTCACATACCTCAAAGAGCCTCCTGTTGTTTCCCACCATGAGCGATTCTGTGGTGTTGGCATCAGCAACCTCTGTAACTCCCCAGCAGCTACCCAAGGATGAATCATTTGGGGCTGCACAATTTATTCTTCCGTTGCCCCCATTTAGCCCAGCCCATTAACCTCAAGCTGAATAGAGGTCAGGGATCTGGAGGGCGATGCAGAGGGAGGCTGGGCTGGCTGGAGGGGAAGAGAAAGAGTTGGTTGGAGAAGTGAATTAAAGTGAATTAAACCAAATAAGGTTGTAGCAGGTGCAGCATCGATCATTTCCATCCAAGGGCAGTTAATTTTCAGGACGAGGGCTTGACGTCAGGAATGGACAGGGGCCTGGGATGCAGCCCGTCCCTGCTGGCTTTGGAGCCTGTTGAAGCCACGTTGAACAGGTTGTTGTGGAATTTAATTGATGGCTATCTGGAGATAGCCTTGAAGAAGGTCTTCAACAGCCATTATGAAAACATCAGCTTAGCCCAGACAGATGGGGGCAGATGAGGAAGACGCTCAAGTTGGCCTCGCCTTTGGTATAAGAGGGAGGGAGAGAAATACTCTGCCTTTCAAGATTCTGTTATTGTACCACATAACAATAAAGTCGAGTTCCAGTTGTGCTCATGGCACCCGTTTCCTGACTTGGCCTACCCCAAAGGGCTAACAGATATAGAGATGTTGGAGAACATATACCATGAACCCCATGTGTTTGCCACCATGTGTTTGAATTCAATGCAGCATCAGAAATAGAACTTTTGAGAGCGGTTTCTCAGACCTGAACTCAGTTCTTTGATTTATATGCAGACCCGAAGAATTCATAGAATGTGAGGCTCCTGTGGACCATAACGGAAACATCAGCGCACGGGATGAGTTGGGTTACGGATGTCTCAAGGTGGGCAAGACGGTCGTTTTGTTGCTTTTTTTCTTAGATAAAGAAAAAAAATTGAGTTCCGAGAGATACTGATTTGCAAAGGAATACTTAAACCAAGGAACGTCAGCCCATAAATCTTCTATTTGTTTTCTGTCCTTCTAATAGTTTGGTGGCCAAGCATATAGTGATGTCAGCCACACTCAAGTCCTTTGCAGGGCACTGGATGGCATTGAGTGCGCTGGACAGCGAACCTTTCTGCGTGGGAACAAGCCGTGTGTGAAGTGAGTTCCCTTTCTTGGGTACATTTCTGCAATTTTAAATGACACTGCAGAAGCCAGGTGCAGCGTACATTACTGCTAATTTTGGGGGCTTTTATGAGCCCCTCTGCTCACCAGTACAACACAGAAGAGAGTCATTCAGTAATTCCACTCTAGCCCCAAGGGTTGATTTTATACAGCTTTGATTCTGTCAAGGCTAAGTCCTAAATAATCACATGCTTGCCTGGTAAATCATTTTTGCTCTGTGTATTCTATGCAATGTCATGTTATATCTGTTAGAGCAGGGGTCCCCAACTCCCGGTACCAGTCTGTGGCCTGTTAGGAACCGGGCCACACAGCAGAAGGTGAGCAGTGGGCGAGCAAGCAAAGCTTCATCTGTATTTACAGCCGCTCCCAATCGCTCACATTACCGCCTGAGCTCCGCCTCCTGTTAGATCAGCAGCGGTGTTAGATTCTCATAGGAGCGCAAACCCTGCTGTGAACTGCGCATGTAAGGGATCTAGGTTGAGCACTCCTTATGAGACTCTAATGCCTGATGATCTGAGGTGGAGCTGAGGCGGTGATGCTAGCGCTGGGGGCCGCTGCAAATACAGATTATCATTAGCAGAGGGGTTTGACTGCACAGAGACCACAATAAATCAATTGCTTGCAGACTCATATCAAAACCCCGTCATGTAATGCGCTTGGCGCTTGAACCATCCCGAAACCACCACCACCACCCCCAATCCATGGAAAAATTGTCTTCCACGAAACCAGTCCCTGGTGCCAAAAAAGTTGGGGACCGCTGCATTAGAGGGTGCTATGCACAGGAAGACATAAAAATGTGTTTGAAGGAACGCCGTCCCCTTAGGATGATCCAGCTCCTCTCTTTCTGACTTCTGAATTCCAGATACACCGGACACTACTTCATTACCACTCTCCTCTACTCCTTTTTCTTGGGTTGTTTCGGAGTAGACCGCTTCTGCTTAGGCCATACAGGTACGGCCGTGGGAAAGCTGCTGACTCTTGGAGGACTCGGCATCTGGTGGTTTGTGGACCTGATTCTTCTCATTACCGGGGGACTCATGCCCAGCGATGGGAGCAACTGGTGCACCATTTACTGAACACCTATCGTTCTGGTTGGACTTGATCCAGAGAGGAGAAGAGAGTGGAAGCCTGGCTTAGATGAAGACCTCCTGCCTGAGATCGGTTCCACGGCAACGAAAGAGAGCATGGTGTTGTATCTGCTTTTCCACTGGAACTAGGATGGGGTTTAACAGGAAAATGCGAACTGTAATTCTGCAGGATATACCTCGTTGTTTCAGTTGAAGCTGTTCTCCTGCCTACAGGAAGACTGTAAATTTATTTATGAATTTAATGCAATTTTCTACACGTCCCGCCACACTTCTGTATTTCCGCTTGTGCCATGATAATTATTAATGCACAGAACGTAGCCCTAGGTTCTCATTGCTGTGAGTTTAGAAGAGGTTTTTATAATAAGTCCAGATGGCTAGAATTAGCTGACAGCAACTTGCAACGTTTAAGGCCCTACTAGAAGGTGGCTGCCTGATGCTTATTCACTTTGCATTTTAAGATAGTGGCGCTATTTTTCCGCTTAGAATGCAAGTCAGAAGTCCCTCTTTATGTCTTTGTACATAGATAGGGAATCTCTGACAGTTCTTCCCCATTCTTAATCTCATCTTGTGGTGAAGGTATGGAGAAGCAACCACCTTTCCTTAGCTACATCAAATGTAACTTATTTAAAGTCAACCCCAGCATGTGCTTGGTAAGTCAGAAGGCAGTGTCCTGGATGCATGCCTCCTTAAAGCAGTGACATCTGTTGTCCCCCCTTTAAGAGAAAATTAGGAGACAGGTTTTTAAGACAAATCAGTCATACTAAAAATTAACACAGAAGCAAATCCTTGCTCCGGCACCTTAGCCAAACCACCCCTTCTAGAATGCAACCAGTGTTGGAACATGCTAAAATGATCGATATCAGCAGAAAAATAATCCGTCTAGTAGTGGTTGCATGCCAACAGAAACAGGTTGCTGCCTTCTAGTCAGCTGGAGTGAAATAGATTTCTAAGATATTTACCTTTCGAACACTGAAATCAAAATATATTCCTTTGTTGCAGTATAATGAAACATGATGGGCTGCTGAACTTTCCAGGTATTGAATAAGAATAAACCCTCAAAGTATGAAACATAATGTGTCTTCTTTGTAATGTTCCGAGGTACCTTTAAAAAGGAGAGCTAGTTTGGTGTAGTGGTACTTAGTAATACAGTATTTCCTATGGATTCCATTGTATTGCCTTATTTTCCCCATTAAGCCTGCAATGCCTCATTGAGCCACGGGGGGAGGTATTTGCTATAGATTCCATTGTATTGTCCTGTATTCCATATTGAGCCTACAATTCCTCATTGAACCACTAGGGGACAGTACTTCCTATAGATTCTATTGCCGTCTTTTTTCCATTGAGCCTGCAATACCTCATTGGGCCACCAGGGCAGAACGGCATAGAACTTCCATTATGGAGTCCTTGGTGCTCTCTGGGCTTGATTGTTTGCTTGCAGATGTTTCATTTTTTGACTAGGTAACATCATCAGCGCGAGCACACGTGTGGTTTGCTTTTTCAGGCAGCCCTCAGAGACGAGAGGGAGTCCTCTTGGCAGGCAGCAGTGGCTTGCAACCTTCTCTGCGGGCTACTTTCCCAGCAGGCAACAGGGAAGATTGCAGATGGCAATCCCATGATCACAGGGTGTTTGGCAACCAGCTGTAAGGGTGAACCAGTTGCCAAGGGGCCAGATAGCTGTAACTCCAGGTCAGGTCGTAAGTCCCTTCGTTCAGCACTGTCATAACTTTGAACGGTTGCTGAACAAATGGTCAGATAGTGGGGACTACCTGTATGTGGAAGCAGCTCAGATAGACACCCCATTAATTCACATGCGTGTAAGGTGTAAGAAGGGAAGGAGGCACAGTACACGAGGTCAGATTCCTTAACTTTCAGCCAAACCATCAAAGAATTAAAGGAGGTGGTATCTACATATCTGGACAGCATCAAAGTGAAGAAAATCTGGTTGGGCAATTTGCACGTCTGTCGCTGTGTGGCCTTTGCTCCCTCTCCAAAACTGTGCGCCCTCGGTCACTGTCTCAAGTGTTTCTCGCTGTAGTGCTGCTCACACAATCTGCAACCTTATCAGATCACACAGGAATGGATTATCCCAGTGTTTCTCAACTTTAACAACTTGAAGGTGTGTGGGCTTTCCTAAGCGTTGCGGCAGAGGAATCCTCCTAAGGGCCCACAATCACCACTGCCAAGTAACCTCCAGAAACAGTGGGGTTTCCTTGTTCTCTGCTCCCCTGGAAGAACACCCATGAGACGGTACTAGGGGCCAAACCTAGGGGACGCCTCCCAATCGTCTGCACACAACAAATAGTCCTGTTCCCGCAACAGCAACGCTTCCTATTTACTGATGTGGGTTGTTACCTGCTTTTCATTAGAATTACGATATTCACAACAAGTTCGAGGGAAGGTCTTCAACAAAACGGTAGCAATAACCAAACAAAGGACTGACTCCTCACCAAATTTAGGCTTATGAGCTCTATTTGGCAGAAGGAATAAAAACACAAAGCAAGAAAGTTACTTTTTTTACATGCTTTTAGCAGTAAAGTCAGTGAAAATACTGGATCATCTTTTGCCTGAGAAATGGTTTGATCGGAGGGGGTCAATTGTCCAGCTTGAGAAGGTCTCTGATAAAATTCACACGTTTAAAAAAACAGTGGAAAAATCATTCTTTTATCAAGATCGGAAGGATTTTATCTGTTTTATAAACGACAAAACTAATAACCATCAGGATGCAGGGAAAATCTAAACACTCTGATACAAGATTGCTTAATGCAGTAGCTGTTGTGTGTAATGTAATGTAAAATAATAATTAAAAAACTAAAATCAATATATATGTATAAATACAATAATCCCACGAGCAGCTTCATTGGCAGTAGAACTTTTATCCACAGTTGCTGACCTTCTTAGCTGACCTTTTACAGAAGTAGCTGGGCACAATATTTATATATTTGTGATGCTAGATTTTAAAAAAAAACCTTTTTAAAACAGCAGCTTGTGATCCGAGAGCAGCATAAGAGTGTCTAAAACATATCCCCGAGAATAAAGAAAAGCGTGCACGTGCGGAATTAACTTGGGCTAAAAGGAGAGATGCTGCAATGATGGGTGTGTTTCTCCCTTTCCCCAATCCTCTGATTTAGCTTATCATCATGGTTAATGAAGAGTTCTGAAGAACTGGAAACTTCTACATACCTTTGTTCGCAGGGGGATATCTTTCAGGGTGGATATTTTTCACCCAGAAAAGCAAATTCTGCCCTTTTAGCAATTTTTGCCCATGAACTTGCTTGCCAAAGCCAATCATCTCCAAACCTGCTGTTCAGGAATTTGATTCCCAAACTCTGGATGTTTCAACCTATTTGGAAGACAACCTGGAGGAAACAAATTGGAAGAAAGAGCGCAGTCTGTGTTCTCACTGGTTGGCACTATCCATATGACTAGGCCAAAAAGCAGAGCCCTCACTCGGAATTGGCTTTGCTCTCACTAGCCCTAGCACATAACTAGCTACATAAAGCCTTATTATGATTCTGTTCAGTGTATCACTGATTTCTTGAGGTACTCAAGTAAGAAAGACAGCAAAACCTTCCTTTACGTAATGCTGCCAATCCTTGAAAAGTACTGTAGAAGAAAGAGAAAAAAAATTACATCAGGATGTGATATCGGAGGAGACCATGAGGGAATTTGAGGAAATTTATCTCCCCTTCCCCCAAAGCTGCATTTTCAACACAAATAAATAATCAGATTATTTAGCACAGCTCAGAGACATACAACTGACAGATAAAAAGAGTGGGAAAAAGAAACCGACGGAAAACCGACTCCAAGAACAAATGTTGTGATCTGAGAAGCAACCCAACTTTCTCACTCTAGAAGGCAGCTATTGGTTTCTCTACACCGAATCACCACTATATTTCCAGAAGCCATGAATGTCCCACATGGGATCATCCACCAGTTGAAAAGAGGCCTTTGTCAGCGGAGGTAGGTCAGTCAGCTCCTCTCCTGCAAGCTTGGGATGCTAAAAAGCTCCAATGGGAAATAGCATTTCCTCCAACCAGGGAAGGAAGGAAGGGAGGGAGGGAGGAGAAAGGAGGAGGAGACCTGCCAGCGGAGATGCAGGAGTGAATTTAACTAAAGGGAATTGGTGGATCAGGCAGCTAAGGGAAATGAAGTGAGGTCAGATTCCTCTGAACAACAGAGAAAAGCTGGCTTCAGAAAATCTAACAGCAGCAAAGTCCGTCAGCAGCCATTTTTTTCCCTTAGAGGACTTGTTTACCAATGTTTATTATAAGGCAAATCTCAAGTTGGGCCACACCTGTTTGTAGGCTAACTTTCCCCCATGAGATTTGCCAGCCCCCTGACACACTGCTGAGGCCAAGCCTGCCATTTGGGAGACTTTAGAGGTTACGCTCAGTGCCCGAGACGCCACTTACTGGTTCTGCTGTTCCCTTCTGCGAGCTGCTCGTTCTTGAACGACGCAAGGACGATCAGCTGCAGTGGATGAAGCCATCTTTTGGGGTAGGCTGTCTAACAACACTCCCTGCTCTAAACCCCACCAGCTGCCAACAAGCTTCACCATTTTCCAGATGTTGACCCAAACCTTCAAGCATCCCGTTGACCCAGGAAAACACAGCCTTGTTGTCAAGCAAGCATTTCTTTTCAGGTTGTGCTGATGTAGCCGAAAATAAAGCCCTGTCTCCCTGCCTCAAGTATTTATCCACACTTTCTGCAGCTAGAGGCTCGTGGTTTGGGTCTATCCCGAAAGCAGAAACCACGCTTTCATCTCTTCACGAGGGCCCGCTTGTTTCACCCAGGGAAAGGACCTACAGCAGCAAGGACCGTCGGGGCAGCCAAAACACGTCAAGAGGATGGATGGGAGGGGAAGATGGGGAGGAAGGAGAAGGAGGAGGACAGAGCTGTTGGGCTTAAGGAGCAAACAGATTCACATTGGTTTATTCGGGATAGTGGTTTCATTATGATGCTTGCCCTGTTCTACAAGGAACAGAAGAAAAGAGTGGTGTGGCAGGACTGAACAAGATAATGGCCTTGGTTTTCTCTACGCTACAAGGGTTCTGCTTTTGTCATCCAGGCAAAGATGTGCACTTAAGGCATTCCAAAGGAACATACAGTTCATTACTGTGGACTACCATATCCCGGTTTCCTTTCCGCCACACCAGGGGCTGCTATCTTGAGACTCCCCAAACCGCAGTTCCCATCTTCCAACGAGCTCCGCCAGGGGAGCCGAGGACGGCAGCTCCGAATCACTGATGAAACGTTCCCGCAACGTGTCAACAGTGACATGAGAGTCCAGTGTGTGCTACATACTCAGGGAGGTCCTGACAAAGCCTGTCCCACCCCACCGAAAGCCAGTGCTAAGAACTTAGTCCAAAGAAGGCAAAGGAAAGAGCAGAGAGAATGGTGTCTCACCACCCCAAGGAGCCCACCAGTCCAGACGTCAGCCCGTTATTGAGAGCCAGACAGCCAGAGGCCCGCTGGACAGGGTGTCCCACGATGAGCTGCCTGCTTCCACAACCACCCGCCTTGCTGATAAAATCGGATGGCTGTCCAGAAAGCAAGGAGGGCACAAGGAGTCAAAGAGGAGCCCTGAGAGTCAATAGAAATGTTTCCGGCTCTGCTCTTGCCATTTGTTGTAAACAATAATGCCAATGACAATGGCGAAGACAACGGCCACCAGCGAAAAGAAGACCATCAAGAAGAGAGCAAGGCCACTCATGGGTTCCATCGGCGTCTCCACTGCAAAGGACAGAAGTAGAGGCCAGACTCAGCTATAGGAACAGCGCTCAGTCGCTTCGTGGACGCCTGGTTCGGAGCGGGACCGTTTCCTAGCTCCACCTGGATGTGCCGAGCTAGGGACCCATATAGCCAAGGTGAGCGATGGGTTTCCCCAGCACTTGTTCATTGACACCCTCTCTAAGTAGCCCAACTGCAGGAAAGGGAATCTCACTCTGCTGCAGATCCTTGCCTGAACAGCCTACACTGGGACTCTTGACATGGAGCCTCCTTCCTCTGCTGCAGCTGTCGTAAGAACATCACCGGTGCCTTGCTGGATGGGACCCCTACCCCGTCAAACCTTTTCTCGCAGTGGCCTACCGACCACACAAGGAAGCCTACCAGTCTTCCAGCAGATGGCCTTCACAGGCA